ATTGAAAATTTTAAATTAATAAATAGTAATTAAAAACTTGTTAGATATCGTTTACCAAGTCTTTCTTATAGTTCGCACTGTGAAGAAGGGCCTTTGAATGAAGAGACAATCTTTTATCATAAATTTGACTCTTTTTTAAAATTAGTTTAGTAACAATCTAATATAATTTAGGTTGTATTAAACATTTTTATTCATTGAATAATTAAAAATAATTTTTTAGCATCTACGATTAGAGGTATGTTTATTGACTTTTTATATAATTAACATGAAAAAATAAAATTTGATATTAATTTTAAAAACTATATAATCAAATTTATTTAAGGAAAAATAATTCTAAAAATTAATGTTATTTTTTTTTTCTATGTATGGAGTAAACTAGAACCAAAAAACTGCAATAAATGCATTTTTAAAATATATGTTAGAAAAAGATAATAAAAAGTGTAATTAAAATGAGGTTTGATTTTTTTTCTTCAAGCCATAATTAATTTATAAGCATAAAATTTATTTTTTAAATGTATTATATTAATATAAGCTACATTTTTAAAACTGTTTCTTGAGAAATGTATGCATAAACTAAATCAAATATATGCTCACTTTTTATCACAAGTTAATAATTTAAATAATTTAATAATAATTTTTTTATTTAAATAAAATAAAATACATAAATTTAAGTTATAAACATGTAAAATAACAAAAGATAAAAATAATAAAAATAATCATATCTTATTACGTATAATAATAACAACAATGAGAACACAATAAGTTGACATTTTCAATGGTCAAAAAGGATTCAATTTACTCAAAATACATTAGTAAGTCGCTATTGTGTTTGTGTTGTAGAATAGGCTCAAAGTTGAATGTTCATTTTCTTGAACCTATTTACATTAGTAATTAATGTGAGGATGCATTCAAAGCATGTGCGACCTCACTCACTCGAGATCACCTTCACTTGTTTTTGGTTTTTTCTAACCGTCCATCACTTTCCCTTGTTGGAAACTACAAATGAAAGAACGTTAAATGAAGGGCATGTTAGTCGTGTGGTTATAATCATTTTATGATTATTAACATCGCATAATATTATTTTAAAAAATATTAATCTAATTTAATTATTAA